GAATCGTCTCCGAAATAGTTTCCTTCAAGAGAAACGTCTCCAAATCGATTCTCTTGAAGCGAAAACGCTTCCGGAACATTTTTTTTTAAGAATTACGCATCTGGAGCGTCGTTCTTTAAGAAATTCGCTTCCGGAGCGTTGTTCTTTAAGAATTTCGCTCCAGAAGTTTTTTTCTTTAAGAATTACGCTTCCAGAGCGTCGTTCTTTAAGAAATTCGCTTCTGTAGCGCTTTTCTTTAAGAATTTCGCTTCCGGAGCGTTGTTCTTTAAGAAATTCGCTTGCAGAGCGTTGTTCTTTAAGAATTTCGCTCTGGGAGTGTTTTTCTTTTAGAATTACGCTCCAGGAGCGTTTTTCTTTTAGAATTACGCTTCAGGAGTATTTTTCTTTTAGAATTACGCTCCAGGAGCATTTTTCTTTTAGAATTATACTCTTGGAGCGTTTTTTTTAGGAAATTCGCTTCCAGAGCATTTTTCTTTAAAAAATACGCTACCAAAGCGTTTTTCTTTAAGAAATACGCTACCGAAGCATTTTTCTTTAAGAATTACGCTCCTGGAGTGTTTTCTTTAGAATTACACTCCAGAGCGTTTTTTTAGGAAATTCGCTTCCGGAGTGTTTTTCTTTAAGAAATACACTACCGAAGCGTTTTTATTTAAAAGAAACGCTCTGAAAGCGTTATTTTTTTAAATTTAACGCTCCGGAAGCGTTTTTATTTAAAAGAAACGCTTCGGAAGCATTATTTTTTTAAATTTAACGCTTCGAAAGCGTTTTTATTTAAAATTAATGCTCCAGAAGCGTTTTTATTTAAAATTAATGCTCTGGAAGTGTTATAATTTAAAATTTATACTCCAGAAGCATTTTTATTAAATGTAATGCTCCAAAAGCGTTATTTTTTTAAATTTAATGCTCTGGAAGCGTTATTAATTAAAAATAATGCTCCTGAAGCATTTTTATTTAAAAGAAACGATCCGGAAGCGTTATTATTTAAAATTAACGCTCCAGAAGCGTTTTTATTTAAAAGAAACGCTCCGGAAGCGTTATTTTTTTAAACTTAACGCTCCGCAAGCGTTTTTATTTAAAGAAATGCTCCGGAAGCGTTATTAATTAAAAATAATGCTCCGGAAGCGTTTTTTCAAAATAATACGCTTCCGGGAATGATTCCCTTCAAGGAAACGCCTCCGGAAACGTTTCTTTTTAATGGAAAAGCCACAGAGGCTATTCCTTCAAAAATAACGCTCCAGAAGCATTTTTATTAAATGTAACGCTCCATAAGCGTTATTTTTTTAAATTTAACGCTCCAGAAGCATTTTTATTTAAAAGAAACGCTCCAGAAGCGTTATAATTTAAAAATAACGCTCTGGAAGCGTTTTTATTAAATGTAACACTCCAGAAGCGTTATTTTTTTTAAATTTAACGCTCCCGAAACGTTATTCTTCGAAGAAAATGTTACTGAATCGTTTTTTTTTGAAGAAATCATTGTCAGAATCGTTTTACTTCGAAGAATCGTTTCCGGAATCATTAACTTCGAAGAAATTGTTGCCGAAAGCGTTTTTCTTCGAAGTTAATACTCCTGGATTGTTTTTTTCAAAAATAAAAAATCCAAGCTGATGAGCTGAGCTGCACCACGAGCTGAGCCACGGCATGAGCCGGCTTGATCGGCTCGCGAGCCGGCTCAGCTTATGCGGAGCTTTATTTCAAATTATCATAAAAATTGAATTAAATCTTACCATTACCTAATTAATTATATGTTTTAGTTCATCTTGATTCAGATTCTAAGAAAATGAATTGATATTGATTATTATAAATCCAAATTTTAAGAAAATTAAAGTAGAATATTCAGATATATTAATAATTAATTGAGATTTATTTTTATTTATAGCAGCTTTAATAAAATTATAAAATTTATGTAAAACTATGGCAAAATATTAAACTATCATAGTAAATAATGAATTTAAAAATATTATGATAAAAACTCTTATTAGAGATTTACTAAAACTAATTTTAGAATTTTAAAGAGGTTTAGGCAAGCATTCTTATTTCATAGAAAAATAAATCAAAATATATATATCATAATAAAGGAAAAATTACTTCTTCTTAATCAATTTTAATTAGAATATTATAGTATTCTGAAAGGTTATCAGTTATAAAAATTTAAATTTTTCATTGTATAAATAAGTTAATCAACAATTGGATATAAAATTCAAGAATTTTCAATCAATACATTGCAAGTTTGAGAATTAAAAGATCTATATAATCATAGGCTTTATAAATATATTGCAAAAGAATCCAAAATTGGTTTTTATTTTTAATACTATAAAAATATTCATAATCTTAATTAAATCTTATGTAAAACTATCAGAAAATTCAACAAAGTTATTACTTCTATAAATATAATGTTTGTAATGACTAGTTAGTAATAATTTTAATAAAAATTTGTGATTAATTTATAAAAAAGTAATTAGTTTTGTTTTAGTAATATCACAATTCTATTCATAATTTAAAAACAGATACACATAAGCAATTTTTTATTTAGAAGTGATATCATCAATAATAAAATACATTAGAATTAGTTTCTATAGAATCTGAATAAAAATATTTGTTATATTTATTTTAGATTCTAGAAAGGCTAGCAGAACCCTTTCTACTACTAAAATAGGTTACTAGTAAAATTTATATATAAAAAATTTTTTGAAGATTTTATTATAAATGAAAATTTTATATTATATTATTATGTTTTTTTGATTTTTTTTAGTTACTTAACCAATAGAATTTAAGAAAATCCTAAGGTAAGATTATATATAAAAGTTGAATTTCACTAGTAATATTTATTAATAATAAACAGAATCCTAAGTCACTATGTTATTATTTAGAAGTTTAGATATTGTAAATATTTATTTTTTTTTTATAATAAGTAAATATTGATAAAATAACCTTGTTGATAAAATTATTGTTAGTGAATTAATTGTTATTAAATTGATATTTTTGGTAAAAAAAATCAGTTAAATAATTGTTGGTTAAATATTTATTAGTAGTTATTAGGTAAGTGATTAAATCCCATATAATTAAACTATTTAATATTAAAATTAACATATATAAATTTTAGACTTATGATTACATATTTATTTATCAATTTATTTTTATAATATAACTATTTATGAAATGAAACTTCATCATTATTTTAAATGATCAAAAATAGTCAAAATCATTTTGTAAATTAAAATGATTTTAAATAATATTATTTTAAAAATTTTAACTTTTGGAATTTATTTTAACTTTATATATAAATATAATTAACTAAAATATAATAAGTTTACCTATAGAAAAGAAGAAAAATTTGATCAATATAAATTTTTTACACATTTAAAATTTTTGATAAAAAATATGCCATCTGATAATTAAACTGTAAACCTGGATTCTATAACTTTATTTTACCAATATATGTATCACTAAATATAAAAGAAGATATTATATAAAAAACCAAAACCTTAGAAAATCAAATTATTTTTAGATTATATATAAAAGAAATATATCATTAAGAAAAATATATTTAATTACAAATAATTATTTCTAATTATTTCTAATCTATTTACGATATTAAGAGATTAAAGAAATTGATAATTTATAAACTGACCAATCATATTAGATTATTTTTTTACGTGAATTATGTCGAATGCAAAATTGACGGATAATATAAATCTTCTTCCAAAGTTGATTCGTAAATGAAATGAGTCATTGTAGGGACGAACACAGCCATTCTCAAGACGGTCATGGACACCATGATCACGACCACGATCACGACGGACCAGAACGTGGAACTGAAGATTCACTTTATTCACGTATAGATCGCGATAATGTTCGTTGTTTGAACGAAAGAGAACCCGAATCAGGCAAAAAGGTCATAAAACCTTGGAATGAAAGAGATGATACCACTAAAGTACGTTTTACTTTTTATATGTATTCATTTAGGTATATTTGACGTATTAATACCATTATATGTATGTAGTTTGTAGAAAGTGATTTCGATGAACAACTAATTATTTTTATTCCGTAAGTAATTCATTTATGATACTTCATAATTTTATTAAATTTTTATTTTGATATTCAATTCTTTTCTATTAAATTTAGATTTACTGGTAGCGTTAAGTTAAAGTCGATTTCGATCAAATCAGGACCGGGAAATAGTTGTCCATCAATATTAAAAGCGTAAGTCACACTATCTTTATAAAAGATTTCATTTTTGTAAGCTCTTGATTTAATATAATAATTTACATTGAAGTTATATCAATCGAGAGGATGTTGATTTTGATACAGTGGAAGGATATAGGGCAACTCAAGAGTGGGAATTAGTTCAATCACCGGATGTCGTAGAATATCCAACAAGGTATTTTGCAAGTTTCTGATTTTAAATTTATCTTGATTAAATTAATATTATATTTAATATATTTAGAATGACAAAAATGTACAATGTGAGGAACTTGACGCTTTTTTTTCCAGAAAATTATGGAGATGAAGTAACTAGAGTTTATTATATTGGACTCAAAGGAGAATGGACTGAGGTGAGTGAACTTGAGTGTAATTACTATTTCAAGATATTTATTCTTTGATAGATCGCCATTTAGAAGTTAAAATATAATAAAAATATGCTAATATAAGAGTGAGATCAAAATATTTACACGTATAGTGTCTAATAATAAAGTTTGACTACATAGATCAAGAAGGATCATATTGTAACTCTTTATGAGACTACTCCTAATCCTGCTGATCACAAAAACCCTGCCGGTGAAAACAAAACTCATCATGCCATAGATTAAAATGTATTTTAATTAAAAAATATTATTATCGGCTTAACATTAATTAAAAACTTAACAAAATAAAACAACAAACAGAAACAACGAAAAAAAAAAGAAAGTAATTTTCCTTATTTTTATTTATTAATTAAAGATATTATATATTACATTCATAGAAAAAATGTTATAACCTGTTAGCTTTCTAATTATTTTGCTGGTTTAATTTGAATGAGACTTAGTAGTTACTATAATTCTACAAGAAAAAATGAAACATTACAAAAATTGCCAGAAGATGGCACCATACGAGAGATAACGAACCAGAAAAAAATAAAATAAAATAAAAATATCAAAAAAGAAAAGGAAAGTAGAAAAAGAAAGTAAAAAAGGCAAAAAACAAAAACAATAAAAATACCTTACGTACCTCTTCTTGGTGGTGGTACATATAGGTTTTTCTCATTGCTCTTATTTCGCGCAATTTTTGCAATTCTTCCATAACCACCATCACCGTTATTCCTGTTGTTGCCACCATTTCCACCGACTCTCTTATTAGCTTGACCGATACGAGGACTTTTTGTTACTTGAAATACTGATATTTTTTGAGGAGCTTGTGAAGTTGTAGTAGTAGTATTTGCTGATATTTGTGCCGACTTTTGTTTTTTATTTGGAGTTGAGGGTGAACTAATATTTGGGCGTTTGTTTCCCACTGTCGTCGAAGGCGTCGACGACGTTGAAGACGATGTCGTAGATTGTGGTGATATCGATTGTGATGGTACACGCCAGGAAATGACAACTTTTGTAAAATGTCGTGCCACTGCTGGTTTCATTAATTCCTAATTCAGTCGGGAAATTAGTAATGAATAATTTTCACTAAAATGTGAATATAAAAAGTAAAATGAAATGTTATAATCAAACCTTACCTTCGTCATTGTAAAAATATTGTGAGTCACGGTTTGAACGTTCTCTGCCCTTTTAATTTTCTAATTAATATAAGATAAAAAGAAAAAAATTAATATGAAATGTAAAAGTACAAAAATTATAAAATAAATACATACTTCTATAGTTTGTTGGTCTTTACTTTGGGTTTTTTGTAAATCTTTCAAACTTTGTTTTACACGCGTTTGACATTTCATGGCAAAAGTATATAGGTGGCGTAATCTAAATTCATGACAATTTATTTAAATCATCAAGCTAACAACTTATTTATGAAAGCATTATAAATGATCGATAACGAACCGACAATTCACTTCTTGTCCTTCAGTAATCGTCGGAATCTTGAAGGCAATAGTGTAAATCGTATATACAATGTTTTCCACTTTATTTAAATCTATTTTTGGATCCTCATCAATATTATCTGCGGGAGGTTCCGGAACTTCATTCTAGATGAAAAAATAAAAATTATCAATTTGGATGTTTGTAAATGTTAACCGATTGAATATAATGTGAAATGTACCACAAATATATTTTTTATCAATGGTGCCGCTTCTCTTAAAGTAACCTCGGTTGGATTTCGGATAATGAACTCAACAAAGTATCGTAAAACGGTTCTCTGTTGCCTTGCTTGTAATTTGCAATATACATCTTGTGGCAATATTTTTTTCACTAAGAAAACAAGTATCGGTGTGGTGGATATACCTTTCTGTCCAATCGTTATAAAAAAAAATAAAAACTCGATGTCATTTAAGAATGTAATTAAAAATTAATATAAACATAATATTACCTCAAAAAGTTGAATCAAAGTTTTCCCACACATTATAAATTTATTAACAATATTTTCATTGGAGGGCTATGAAAGAAAACAAAGATAAGATTAGAATGGAATAATTTGTAAAAAGAACATTGTATATAAATAATGTTTCAGGATAAAGGATCTTACATCGAATTGTTCGTCTTCACTAGCAATTGCATCAACAATTGAATTTGACAAAGCCTTTAAATTATCTTTCTTTTTGTACATATTCAATGACAATAACATCTTAATAAAATTCTCATAATCCGTAGAATTCGCGTCGTGAAGGGCCTAATTTAAATAACAATTAACATTTATATCTTACAATAATAAAATCAATTAGATATGTAACACGTACCTTTATCACTTCATCGGAAAATTTAGATTCCCAATCACTATTTAGCTGTGATAATTCCGCTTTAATCCTATTCAAATCATTGGATAAAAACCCAATTGTTCTCTGGCGAACTTCAGGTGACCCTTTTAATGACTGATTAAAAATTGCTGGTATTGTTCCTGGATCCAAGCGAAGAACTTGTTCAAGAGCTTTCTTCACTGCAGTAATTTCACGTGTAGTTTCTATTTCAAAATATTTACATAATGAGGAAAGTTCTAATATATGCGTGCTCATTTAATATACGTTAAATTACAAATTACCATTTTCTAATAATTGTACTAATGCATCAGCAATTCTAACAGCGAACTTGTTGCATTCTTTAACGACATTTGGCATATACTTGATAACCATTAAACGCACCTACATATGGATCAACTTAGTAAAAAGCAAAAAAAGTCCACATGATCTCACTCATAAATTAAAACATACTTTTATATCAGTGTCCTCACAAAGGTCAAACAACGCATCTAATGCAGTCTCATAGAACTCTGGAAACTTGCCAAAGAAGCGAGGGATAAATTGAGCAGCAAGTTGTTTACAATTACTTGAGCCGTGTGCACCAATGATCAAAATTTCATATGAATGTTTAACCTAAATTATGTTGGGAGATAATTAATTACGAGTTGAATGAACAGAAAGCAAACAGAATAGAACGATAATCACCTCTGCTATATTATTGCCGGCATTATTAATTGCGTCATAAGCTTTATAAATCTGTTCAACATCAACTTCGACTTCAGTCATGTTAAGATATTTTTGAAAAAAACTTTCTAACGCCTCGAATAAAAATGTTTACCAAATATAAAAATTTTGGCAATCACATGAAAATTTTGGCGGCTTTTTTTAACCATACAATGATAAGCATTTTATTACGTGATTTTTGATCATTTATTAGATGATAATCTAACAATACTTTCATGGCTGACAATGAAGGAAGAACTTGCGTTTATGGCTTGAGACACCAAGTAAATTAGGACCAGATCACATAATAGTTTTAAAGCTTTATTCGAGTGCTTAATTTTCTATTTTGAATTATAGGCGAGGTGTTTGACAGCTGTTGTTGCAGATTCAGATCATAATAAATTTTTAGTTGGTTCTCAAAGTTTACGACGTCAAAATGAGGTTCTTTTTTTACGTTTAGACTCGATTTCTATAATTTCCTATAACGTGCATTAATGGTTTTGTTATTATGACAGTTAGATTCATCTACTTGATTTTCGTGAAGATGAGTTTGAGATAACTAGTAGCGTGTTTCAGCATTATGAAGAGATTTGGGACATTGCCTCTTGTCCTATGCAAGAAGATCTTTTTTTCACGTGTTATAAGAAATGTATGAATAAAATTTTAATATAATAACAATATAATAACTTGATTCTATGGATCATACTAAATTGTTATCATTGTATTTTTTTTAGTCGATTCAAATGTAATACAGTCTAAGGCTAGCTTATGGAGAATGAGCAATATAGAAGCAATATCTGAAGATTCAGAAACAAATCCACAGAGTCAACATGCGCCAGTAGCACCAAGTTCACCTTTAGAGACCATCTTTGAAGTAGATGGTGATGCGACAGTTAAAAAGTAAATATATTTCAATGATTTATACTTATTTTCATATTGAGCCTAATTCCAATTTTTAATATAGAATTCTATGGGAACCAAAGAAAGTTCTTGCGAAATTCGCGTCCATTCATGATCATGCCTTGAATGTATGGGCATTAAGTGATCAGTTTACAACAGCGAAGGTATAATACAAATATTTTACGCGAAAATGAATTCACTATATAATTCTTAACAAAATGTTCATTATATATAGTTGTTAAATACTTTTGAATTCTCTTCATCTACTGGGCCTTTGACAACAGGAGCATGGAATCCACATCAACCAGAAATTGCTATTGGGAAGGAACGTTCTATATCTGGCTGGGATGTTAAATCACAAAGGTGTATTATCCATCGTATCTTAGATAGTTATTTCAATGAAAATTAATTTACTGGTATAACCAACTTATATTTAGTCAGACATTTAATATCGATGGGGCACATTCAATACTTGTACGCGCTTTGGATTTCAATCCAAACATACCAAATCAAATTGCTTCTGCTGGTGATGACTGTAAAGTAAGATTCTGGGATATTAGGAATACTACCGAAAGCATCAAAGAAATATCCGATCATACTCATTGGTATGAAAATTCTCAAATCCTTTTAAATGTTTGTTAATTATTATTATTAATTTGAATTTCAAATGATAGGATTTGGGCCATAGAATATAACAGATTTCATGATCAACTTTTTTTAAGTTCTGGTTCTGATTGTCAAGTCAATCTTCAAAGTATCGTTTCCATTTCTTCAGCAATGTTTCAATATAATGAATATGACGATAATAAATCCGAAGATGAATATCAAGAAATAATAAGGTATATTTCGTTAGTTTTTAACATATTCTATTCAATGATTTTATTTTAATGATTTCGTTTGATTGAGCAGTAGGCCAACCGACGGTTTGGTGAGAACTTATGATCAACATGAAGACAGCGTATATTCAGTTGCATGGAGTGCTCATGATCCTTGGATATTTTGTTCTTTATCTTATGATGGAAGGGCTGTCATTAATAGAGTACCTAGAGAAGAAAAATACAGAATAATTCTTTGATAATTGATTGATTAATAAAATTTCACGAATGAGAGACAAATATTTTATATGAAAATATTACCATATTGATTAATATTCTTGTTGATCATCATACAGCATAAAAATTTTACGATCAGATTTTATATAAAATATACTCTATTTAGTAACAAATGTAGTACGACACAATAATTGCAGTCGTCGATATAAATTGATTGGTGCAACAAATTTTAAGCAATTACAACATTTAAATAACTAATTCAAAAAAACATTATATGCATTGTGTTATATAATTATCAACTTGTAATCGTACTTGAAGAGAAACTTGTTGTCTTGATTGATTGGTTTTTGTGAATTCAGTATTTATATGAAATGAGCTGCACACATTTTTCTTTTTTTGGTTATTTTTGTGCAATCTGCAATCTGGTTAACCCAACCATGTTCGAGAGGATGATTGCCAACACCTCCAAACTCATACTGTTTCGCACCTCAAAAAAAAAAAAATAATAATAATATTAATTCAACCTGTTTAGCCCTTTGGCAGAAAAAAACTTTTTTCATTGTTGTGTGTTCTTTTCGCCAACTCCATACATTCCTTCAATAGATTAAGGATAAGGTTATTCTAATACTTCCACGCTTCCTTTTTATTCTCCTATCCGTCTTAATACCTAACCACTCATTATATATTATTATTCTTCACAAAAGATAATGTCCGGTACGTGTTTAATAAAGTTTTCAAAAAACTAAAATTCTATTTGATATTTCTTTTGTTTTCATCAATTATCTGTATTAAAAAGTGAAAGAAAGAGAAAAGGAGACCAATAAGCATTTTGCAAACTTTTTATCTCTTATATTTGTAATTTTATTATTTTCACGCCAACTTTCATCTTTGAAATCTTGAACATCATCTGGGAGGTCATCATATTTGACCCATTAGAAATAAAGTCGAGCAGTATTTTCGATACTTTGACACTTAAGACTTTAACCGATTGTAAATTTTAGTAGTAATAGTATTCAGTTAAACTGACACATTTTACGTGAACTTTTAAAAGGAAGCGAATATATATAGTAAATAATTAAAAATCTTGCTTGGTAAAAAAGAAAGATAAAGAAAAAAGATTAGACTATAAAATTTTCAATATTGACCTTTTTTTTTTTTTTAATACAAATCTAACAGAAACTTCCGGAAGTGTCCCGAACTCAGGCCTGAAAGTAAGTCGTTTTGATATTAAAAAATCGTCATACTTTTAGAATCTACAACAACAATAATAATATTATGATTCATTAATTATAGTCGATCATCAATAGCGTTATCCGAAAGAAACTTCAAGGATATGTCGGTTTTGCTAACCTTCCCAACCAAGTACATCGTAAATCCGTGAAGAAAGGATTTCACTTCACGGTGATGATTGTTGGTAAGTATTATATATATATTTATTTATTTATTTATTAATTCTTTATTAAATTTCAAACCAACCGTTTCTATTCTAATCGTGCTTTTGTATAGGTGAATCCGGTCTAGGTAAATCAACACTCGTCAATACTTTATTCGGTACCACTCTCTATCCAAACAAAGGTGAAGCTGACCCATCAGATGAAACACCAAAGACAGTAGAAATCCAATCTCTCAGCGCAGGTCCGTTTCCAGGTTTTAGTTTTATTAGATTTGATTTAATTTATCGTGCAGATTTTTCTCACGATGGCCTTTATTACTTGTATATACAATAGATATTGAAGAAAATGGTGTTAAATTAAGGCTTACGGTTGTTGATACTCCCGGATTTGGTGATTTTGTAAACAACGAAGAAAGGTAAAAACGTCAAATCTTTTCATCCATACGTGACATTTTAATACTCGTTTTTATCTCACGTGACTTAAAATTTCATTAGCTGGAAACCAATTCTCGAAAATATCGAAGCTCGATTTGACGCATATCTTGAACAAGAGAATCGCGTAAATCGTCGTAAGATGCTTGACAATCGCGTTCATGCTTGCATTTATTTCATTGCCCCTACAGGGCATTCGTAAGTGATGATTTTTTTAAAAATTATTTTTGATTTGAAAAGTTCATGGTTTCTTTATTTATTATTTTTATAAACCTTAAAGACTTAAGCCCTTGGATGTAGAATTCATGCGACGGTTACACACCAAAGTCAACCTTATCCCTGTAATCGCTAAATCGGACACGTTAACTGAAGACGAAATCAAACAATTCAAGCAACGTATCCTAGATGATATTGCTTATCATAAAATTCAAATTTATCAAGCTCCACAATATGAATATGATGATCAAGAAACGGTAGCAGAAAACCGTGAAATAATAGTAAGTAGTTGATTTGTTTGAATGATGATAAATATCTCGTAATTATTCATTTTTTTAAAAAAATTAAATTATTTTAGAGCAAAATTCCCTTTGCAATTGTCGGTAGTGATAAGGAAGTTGAACTTTCTGATGGTCGTCGCGTTCGTGGACGTAAATACCCATGGGGTGTAATTGAAGTGGACAATGAAGAGCACAACGATTTTGTCAAGCTTCGACAAATGCTCATTCGGTTAGTTTCCTATTATTATTATATTAAATGACATTGTGTATACTAGATAGTTATAATTAATAATTTTTGCATATAAACATTTAGAACTCATATGGAAGAGCTCAAAGAATACACCAATGATGTGCTATATGAGAACTATCGTTCCGAAAAACTTGTTACTATGGGGGTACAGCAAGACCAAACTGTCTTCAAGGAAGTAAACCCACTCGCCAAGATGGAAGAAGAACGTCAACTTCACGAAGCCAAATTACAAAAGATGGAAGCTGAGATGAAAATGGTGTTCCAACAAAAAGTCCAGGAGAAGGAGGCTAAATTGAAACAATCCGAAGAAGAATTATATGCTCGCCATAAAGAAATGAAGGATGCTTTGGAAAAACAACGACTAGAATTAGAAGAAAAGAAAAGGCGATTAGAATCTGGTAGACCGATTACCCCTGAAAAAGCAAAAAAGAAAGGGTTTTCGTTTAACAAATAGATGAAACTCCAAAACAAATATATATATATATTTAATTATTAGAGGTTTTTGGCACTTTTCTTTTTTTTTTTTTTGATAGAATCATATACCTTGATTATTCCCGCTGATTTTAAATATTCCGGTGCGAGTTTGTTTATATAAAATGGTTGGGTTGGTTTGTTTTTTTTGGGGGATCAAAAAAAGGAAAAAAAATTTTTTTTCAAGTTTTTTTATTTCACTATATATTAACGTTAACGCTGTAGTTTAGATTTATTTTTATATATATTTTTATTAATTATATTTTATTCGTCGTAATTTTCTGGATTTTTTATACCCTTTTTATTATGTATACGTGGTCCCACGGATCTCTAAATTTCTTATACGTGTCATGACACTTATTATATTATTATTATTTGGTAACTCCCCTCTTTATACATTATTCCAATAAATGTTTCTACAGAAAAATTATAATTTATTAATAATAACTGAGCTGTAATACTTTGTAGCTAAATACATGATAGTTGTAAAAGTCTACAAAAAAAATTTTTTTTAATAAAGCAGAATTTAATTTATTTCAAAATTATTATTAATTTGAGATACGCCGGGAAAAAGTTTGATTTTTTCCGCCAGTTTCCCCCGTTTCTATTGCAAAAGTCTTATATATTCATATCAGTATCCACAATCGTAAATGTTCATTATCTTGATTCGTCTTTTGATCAAATCGTAATGTAAGAAGTATCCTTATTTCTTTACTGATATGTCGCGTTGCGTAACTTCATTATTAATATCGGACGCGTCATAAACTCAAATGAAATAAATATTAGTTATAACAAGCTTATAATGTAAGAAATATTTTACTGATATTTCTTTTCTTTAAAGATTTACGTGTAAAATCCCTCAAAGATTATTTATAGTTGGAGTATGTGACGCGTCGAATATTGGTATTGGTCGACGTGTATTCCGTTCTTTTTGCTTCCAAATTACCTTCTTGTTCGTAGAAAGAATTTATGAAAAAACAGAATCAATTTTTATCAACGGATCTGTGATTTCATAATTTCATGATATAAATACCATAAATAGCAATTTTGACGCGTGTATCATTCGCCGCGTGTTAACGATCTCAATCATTATTTTAACATAAACTTCAAATATTTATACAAAATTTCTATATACTTATAATTTTTCAGCATGCTTTTTGAACAATTGGTTGACGATTATCGCCGTATGATAAGTAATAATGTACTTGAACTATATAAAAGAAGACGAACGCTTAAAAACGTACAAGATGAAAATAAAGAAAATATCATACCGAATATAAAATCAGAAGATAAGAAAGACAACACTGTTGAAGATCCGGAAGCTGATTCTTTATCGTGGTTAGTTACTATATTACCCTTTAAACGCGTTAATCATCAAATTTAACATATCTTTATTGCAAAGGGGCTGGTTATGTGCTAGAATGGCGGAAATTTATGTTTATTGTCCACAAGGACAAAACGAGCTTCTTTCATTGAGCGAATTAGAATCAAAAGTAAGTGTAATAAATTCCTTTTAAGATTATTTCCAAATTACCTTTAATTTAACTTATTTCTATAGTGGAAAATTATAAGCGCCGATGAAAGAATGGGTATAGCGAAAAGTACGCGACTTTGTGTGTTCTTTTAGTTCGACAATTATTTTTTCACAATGTTAAACTTATCAAAAACATTTTTTTTTTTAAAAAAAAAGACTTTTGTCTAATGGACTCATTATGTTTTCCAAATAACACTGAAGTACGAAGCTATGAACTAGCGGTCGTAAAATCCAGAAGAAGTCAGAGACTAGATACAATATATATCCTTTCGGATTTTAATTAAGAAGAGAATTAAGAGAATTTTATATTTCGAAATTTAAAATAATATTCAACCTTAATAACGTTTTTAATTTAAATACGTTATGTAACCTTGTTTGATGGTTATGATAAGTCTAAAACGGTTAATATGATACTTGATCGAAGATTTATCAAATTTGATCTGTTGTTTAAAGTAAGATAAATCTATTTCTTTTAAAACAACAAATTTGCTCGATGAAAAAAATTTTTCTGTTTCTTTATTTCATAAATGTCTGTTTTTAGCAAGAGAACCGTCAAGTTAGGTTCAATCGCTCTGGATTGTCGAGGAAAAATTCTCAATTGATTCTTCAAACCGAGAACCTGATTCTTGTACTTACTTCGGCCGATGAAAGGTTTATAGAAAAAGAATTCCATAGTTCAATATCGGACCTCTCATTAACCGACTTTTATAAAGGGAGAGTTTACAACTTTTGGACAAGAGTAAGCCCTTCAATATATTCATGTAATGTGAAAACGTACAACTTTTATATTTATTCAACTATTAAAAAAATAGATCATACATATCGAGAAAGAGGAACCTGCTAGTTATTCTGGATTTTACAAACAAATTTGCATTAATCTTCGCGATATGTCAAGTTCTATGACAGCCACCCTTATTTTATTTGATCTGCAAATAAATATGACCGATTTATTCAAAATGGTAAAAAGGTTAAAATTTGATCGTTTAATTTATATCTTTGACATATAAATACTTACTAATATTTATTAACGATAGGGAGATTTTCTCGGAATTCATATGCCATATATTGAAGAAAAAAGTCCTGGAGAATTTATTTTCATGTATACGGATTGCACTACGTTATTTTGTCTACCAATGAACGAACTGATTAAGGTTAGTATTTATAAAGCTTAACGACAAAAACTTTTATAATTATACCAACTTCTCTTTTCGTAGGATCCAAACGTCAAAAAGTTCAATAATCCAAAAAGCAAATTAAACTTTCAAGATGAAACGGTAAAAATCAAAACTACTAGATATATATATTATTTTTTTTTTTTAAAAAAAAAAAAAAACTTTATTCTAATTATCTTGTCAAAATTTAGTATATGATTGATTACAGATTTCAAAGCGAGCGTTTTTACATTAAGAATATGCCATCACAAGGTATAAATATCACGCTTTTTGGAAGAATAGATGACATCTCAGAAAATGTAAGTGATTCTTACATTTAATAACGTTTTACTTGGAAAGCTTACTAACAATCTCTTTATTAATAAAGTGTCCACAAGAATTTGATGGAAAATTAATCGATATGTACATGATAAAGCTTAGTGATAGAACCGGTAAGGAATCATTACAATTAGGTAATATATTTTGATAATTTATCAATATAATAATATATGATATATTTTTACATTAGGATTTACGTACGTGACACTTTGGGAAAGGATTGGTCAAACCGTTTCTAATTATTACGTCGGTCAATATATTGTACTAGAGGGATTAAGAACCTTTAAAAGCATGGATGATTTAATCGAAGTTGTTGGAGATGTTTCATATGGCTCATCGATATACAATGGTAATAGAGAATTATTATAAATTTAGGAAGTAAACTTATTAATGTTTTTATTTATAAAATATAGTTAGCATGGCAACAGGATGGTTGGCAACAAATACTTTAAGACGACATTTGCATGTCCCAATAAAGAATATCATTCAAATGTCTAACAGTGAATTATACGTGGACCATTTTATCACTCACGTTTCAATCGCCGGATGGGACATAAAAGATGATAAATCAAAGGGGATAGTATGGAATTTGCAAGACCATACTGGTGAAATTCGAGCTGAAGCAGTTGGTTCTGTTTCAGAGGTAAAAAGAAAATCAATTCACTACCTTATCTTTTGAAATTATATATCGATGAAGCTAAAAATTCATTCAATTTTAGGATCTTCTTCGATCAATCGGTTATCGTCAAATGCTATCAGAATCACTAATTCGTTCTACGCTCAAAAAACCTACAAGTACGATTTTAGAGGGTAAATGGTTGTGGTGTTGTCTATCATTTTTGGTAAGTTTATAATATATTTATTATATTTATAGATTTTTTTTTTAAAAAATTATATTACTTAAGTTTATCTTTTTCCGTTCGTTTTTTTTTTTAAAAAAAAAGCCATTTGAAAAGTATCAGATTAATGCTGTAGTAGTCCAAAACTGAGCCATAAACAATTTTGCTTCAAATTGTTAATTATGTAATAAAGACATTGATTAATATAATCATTAGTTTAATAAATTCTCTGTGTGGGCGTTTAATAACTTTCCCTTTTCCTTAAATATGATTGGATAAAAATTTCGTCAAGTGTCACAGATTATCCTCCTTATCCTACCCCTTATTCGTTGGTTACATTTTCTGCTTTCGTAAGAAAAATTAAAATTAAATTAACCAAAAATGGAATTACTAAATAATATCTGCCCAAGAAAAAAAGCATCAATTCAATTCCAAACAAGGCTTGGTTCTTTAAAGAAATCATGGGAAATTCTCCTATAGGTTACTAATAAGGATTTGTTTTGGTAGCACAAGTAATGATTTTTACGATCTCTATGAAAAAAACATTGAACTTATTAATTCGAAACGTTCGAAACGTTACTGATTTGATAGACAATTGTTTTTGTTTTTTAAAGTCCATGATCATAATTTCTGATCGGCGTTTGGTTATAAAACTAGTACCAATTCATTTAAACAATCTATTGAATTACGACATAAAACTCAATTTCAAAATGTTCACTTTGCATTTGAAATCTTCCTCAAGCAATAAAAAACTATATTAAACCTTTGTAAAAAAATTAGCGAAACTAAAGGTTTAGACATTTTTCTAAATCCAAAATATGATCCTTAATTCAGCTAATAATTAACTTACCTACTTATTTTGTCACAACTTTTAAATTTTTAATTATTTGTCAATACAAATTAATGAAAATTGTTGTTTATAATTAAAACAATATTTTTTTGCAATTTATATTATTATTATATTTCTACAATAGTTCAAGATATATAAATATCTTGTTATACAAGTTGATTATAAAACCTATGAAACCTATCAATTAAAAAGAACTTAGGATGGAGATATAGGTTCTCCAATTTTCAATTGTTTTTAAAGAAGGTATTTCGGCTGTAAGTCACCATTTTC